ATGGACATTTTCTGCCTTTGTCCTGGTAGTTAGGAATTTAGCTCTCTTCCATAACTGTCATTTCCACATCTTTTCCCCACCGACCCCCAAAGTGCTTATGCTCCAAGTTTAGAGAAATAATTGTTATGGTTGTGTATTTATAGTTCTTTGCAGAACTCAGAACAACACTATTTCTTGTCATAGTGTTTTTCTATAATTCAGGTAATTATTTTCACATTAGTTTGCTTAATTGGTTTTATACCTCAAATAAAAAAAATTTTTTTTAAAGTTTTGCCAAATGTAAATGGATATTAGTTTTCAAATATTCAACTAAGTAATATTAAATTACCTATCAATCCCAGGCTTTCCTTGTCCTCTCCCTTCCAGAGTTCTGCACCCTGTTCCTTCTGGACTCGGCATGATCTCGGAGCCTGTGGCACAGCTGTCACTTGCCCTCAACCCCTTTCCTGTTTCCTGAATCTTCTGTCTTTCTCGTGCTTGGTTTACGACCTCACCTTGCTGAAATACATCTCCGAGAGACCTTCTAGGAAAGGTGCAGAAGAGATGACTTTGAATTCTTATCTGAAAAGGTTGTCTTCTAGGTTCACATTTGACTTATAGTTCGATCAGGTACAGAATTCTCTTTTCAGTATTCAGAATTTTGTGTTCATATTTTATATTCCACTAGTTTCCAGTGATGCTATTGAGAAGTAGGCTGCCACCATAGCCTCCATCCTCTGTACGCGATCTTTTGTTTTTCTTCCTCTCTCTCGAAGTCTTTCAGATCTTCCCCTGTCTAGAGTTCCCTGAAATTTCACAGCAATGTGCCTGGATATAGGTTGTTGTTATTTTTAATAGACTTTATTTTTTAGAGCGTTTAAGTTTACAGAACAATTATGCAGAAATTTGAAGTCCCCATGTTGTTTTTCCTATTAACAGGTTACATTCCTGTTGCTATTTATTATAATTGATGCACCGATATTAACATATTACTACTAACTAGAGTTTATAGTTCATATTAAGGTTCACTCTTTGAGTTTTATGATCTTGTGGGGTTTGAAAAATGCTTAATATCATGGTTCCACCATTCTAGTATCACACAGAATAATTTTATCCTGAAAACTCCCTGTGCTCTAGCTATTTATTCCTCCACTTGCTCTGACTCCTTAGGACCCCCTGATATTTTCACTATCTCTATAATTTTGCCTTTTCCAGAATGTCATATCATTGGAATCATACCATATATAACTTTTTTCTACTGGTGTCTTTCACTAGCAATATGCAGTTAAGGTTCTTTTTTTTAAAAACAATTTTATTGGGACAAAATTCACATATCATACAATAAAATAGTTCAGCCATATCAAGAAGATTTGTACAGTCAATGCCAGTCAACTTTAGAGCATTTTCTTCTTTCATGTGCACCTTGTTATTAGCTCCCCTTTCCTCTCAGCTGCCCCAAGCAACCGTTCACTGAGTTACTGCCGCTATAGGGTCACTCAGCTGGATTCCATGTGCTGAAAAACATACAAAAACAAGCAAAAAAGCTAGCAACAATAACAAAATAAAATGAAGAAAAACCTCAATAGAAAAGAAAGCAGAAAACATTAAAAACCAGAACCTCCTTAAAAAGGGTCAAAAGGGAAATCAAATGAGAGGGTGTTAAATTTCAACCTAGCCATATCTGCCATAATCCACTGTCCACTGCAGTCTGCATGATAGCAAGGCTATTCACCTTCCGGGTCAGGGGATTTCCTGGAGGCTTAAGCCACCTGTATTTCCCCTTCACCTTTTGTTTTTTCCTAACTGGTACAACTTTTAAATGGATCAAAAGGCGGATTAAATAAGATGTTATATTTTAACCTAACCATATCTACTCTAATCATTTCTAAGGACCTCTCTTGCAGTACGGTGCTGTCTGTGATAGGATAATATCTATCCACAAACAAGGAAATCCCATCAATATAGCGATTCAAATTTTTGCACCAACCACTAAATCTAGTGGTGATGAAGCTGGTTTGTTTTTAGTAAATAATTTTAATGGGGGGCTCTTACAACAATCCA